CACACACACACACACACACACACATACACAGAGGCACGCACGCATGCACACACATGCGCGGTAAAAGACCATTGTCTTTTCCTCCTCAACGTTTACGCCTTGCTTTTGTGCATTCAACCATGATCCCAATGGGTGTATTAAACCATGATCCCAATGGGTGTATTACACCATGATCCCAATGGCTCCGCCAACACAATAAATCTACGTAGACATAGTCACCTGGTTTATTACTAGCAGAGTCAACAGAGCGAATGCGTAAGAGATCAGATTTCTCTGTCGGGTATGTTAGATGCCTTTTCAAACCTAGTCCAAAACAGCACTTGCAGTCGAGAAGGAGAACAACAGCAACAATAATAACACTGACAACAACAAAAGCGACGACCACAACTGCAACGACAATACAACACGTGACAAACCAAATATTTAATGTTTGATTCACAGCAACAAAACCAACAAAAGCAAAACAACAGTAATAACAAAAAAAAAATCTTTAAAAAAAAAGGACAGCTACCGTCCCTATCACCACCACTACCAGTAGCAATATCAAGACCAAACAAATAAACATACATGCAAATATACAAACAACAACACTAACCAATTTTAGTTAGATTTACCTGTTTCGTCGACTTGGCTCGGTTTTCCCGCCTTGTTCCAAGACCAGATGGACCCCTCGCCTTCGTCTGATTCAACATGCCAAACTGGTCTTTTCGGATGTCCAGGTCAGCCGTGTTCTTGTTCTCTCGGGCCAGGTGCTCCAACAGATCTCGAATGTATTCCTTGACCTTGGCCTTCTCCTCCAGCCTCTCTGACAGACTTACTCTGCCCTCTCCGACTGGTACCACCATCCCGGCGACCGTGGCTTCAGTGGCCGTGACATTAGAGTTTTTGACCCCTGACCCTGTGACAGGGGTAATTGTGCCATGTACGCCATGTACGTTCTCCGCCCACACCACCTCGAAGATATTTAATGTCAGATACAGGAAAAGTATGTGATAACTGGGGATAAAGGCGTGCCTTGTACGGGAGATGTGGGCGGAGAGTGTACTGAGGACCATGATGTTCTTCCCCGTCTCCTTGTCCGTTTTTGGTTAAGCTCTATCCTGTATCGTTGCACATTGCCTGCGTCATTGAATGAGACAAGAGACGACTGTCCAGACTCTGGAAAAAAGACGATATTAATTTAAAATGTTAGAGAAAACCAAAAATTGTTTGTGCTGATGGAGACAATGATATTGATGACTTCTGCAAGTTGAAGCGCATTACAAAAGGAAAAAGTCGAGGCAATTAGATTGAAAGGAAGTCGAAACAGATAAAAGGAAAAAAAGTTGTAACAACAAGACACAAAACTAATCAAAGTTAAAATCATTACAAGAAGATTTGAAGTAAAGTTTTGACAAAAACTTACGACGTCCTTCACAAAATGTGGGAATCGACTAATTCGAAATCTTAAAGACAAAGCATAATATTGTTATGGCGTTTTTGAAAAAGGTTGCTGTGAAATACAACTGCATTAAGCAAAGATGTCGTGTAATTATACGTTCAACCAGCAAAAATCTAGGATTCTGAAAACAAAAAATTTGTATTCAACACAAGTTTTAAATATTTTGCTTTGTTTTCTTCCTCTCCTTCCTCTGACTGTTCAAGATGCAAGTGAAAAACAGACTGTACAATAGGAATACAGAGAATGGTGCAAAACTACAACTCTATTTCAAAAGTAGAAACATAATTTACTTTGTTTGTGGCATCTTTGTCTAGATCTATCCAGATCTAAATATTTTATGGGGAAAATCGAACATGCTCTCCAAATATTTGTTATTTGATTTCTTTCCCCTATAATACCTGAAATGCATCCACGTACCATGTACCACGAAGTGGCTACACGACAGATGTAGCAGTAACGTCAGGAGTCATCACCAAGGACGATGCGATATGACACCGGTTACACAATGTTCAAAGGATCAGATTTCACTCACTCTGCAGATTCCGCGAACAAGTCATACAGACTCTGCACTTGCGCGATGTTTACATGAGACGAGATGCTATAAGCCACGCCCCTTTGGGACAGACAAAAGGGGATGAACACCGACATATTATGCAGACGGACTGATAATTAAATTTTTTTTTATAATAGACAGGTTTGTACATACTTTTAAATAATAATAATAGATAGCATTTGTATAGCGCATATCCCCGCTCAGCAGCAGGCTCTATGCGCTTTACACTATATTATTACCCCAGCAGACCATAGAACACTCCGAAACATTCTCAGCTTCCCGGGAAGCATACAGTGCAAGCAGCCTCTCTCTTCCACTGTCAAGTACACAATGCTCTTTTTGCCCCGCCCCCACCCTTCGCCACACCT